CCTGTATCTTCAGAAATTATTCCACATTCTTCTTTTGTCTGTTGCATTAGCATCGTCTTGAAGAACTTCATAAGTAACCTCAATTGTTCATTACTTTCTAATGTCAGAGAGGTAATCTCTCCTCACAAATGCTGACAATGGGTATACTGAATCTTATCTAACAACAGTTCAAATAAATGAAAATATTTATTGAGTATTGGATAAATGAAATTAAATTGAGATTTGTGAAAATCAACTTAATAAAAATAATGTAAATTCATTTTTGGTAATGAATGGTATTTAATTTCATGTAAAAATAATATATAACGTTGACATTAATGTGATGAGATTTTAAAAAATTATTAGTTTTTTACTTTTCCGCTAGTTTATGTGAAATTCATTGTAGCAGAACAATAATTCACCAACAGTTCTTTATCCAAACACCTTCTTTCCGGGATAGCCTAGATATCATAAATAGGTTTTTTTTACAGAAAAGAACACATAATCGTAATTTACCCGATTTCTTATCTATAGCAGCCCCTCTCAAGACTCATCAAGAGCTTCAACATATTGCAATCTTTCATTCCAACGTAGCTCATTCAAGATAGTTCTTAAGTAAGGCCCGGCAGCGCAATCTCGTTGAAAGAAAAAATGCAGATACCGTCGATCTCCCTGCGCCCTGCAGGCAGAGTAATGCCATCGCAAAGGCAATCTTGGCGAGGGCGGGAGCGGGGCTGAAAGTGGGCCTTCTGTCAAGTGGATCGTCCAATCAAGACGCAAATGCTCCTGGCGTCTGGAGCAGCCATCCCGGACCAGCGCGCACAGGGTGTTCGGAAAAACGTTTGCAGCGGTAAGAAGGTTGTCCACAGGCGACATGTTGAATCCAGTTATTCGTAGCTTTCTTCAATAATTGTTAAAGATGAATCATGTTCTTCGTTAGCAACCGAAGTGAAAATATGTTTCTAACTTCCCAATTAATGTCTTGATTTATTTTTATTGGTTCATTGTATGTTATTTAAAAGATCATGACAATTTTTGAACATCACCATAAATAGAGGCCAATGTTGTCTAAATATGTCTACCTTTTTCTCCCTAGACCGAAGTATAAGAAGGAAAGGTTTTGGAAACACCTCAACAATACATATTAAAGTTTGTTTAGAAAATGTATGGTTCAGGCTTTTTGGAAATTCAAATGTTCACGCATGCATTAGTGGTGTTTCAAAATTGGTACATGAGGCGAGGTGGTAAGGGTAGTTTTCTATCCAAAAAATTGGGATGCACGGATAGGCGGATAAATGGACGGATGATATACAGACAGAAATACATAGGCGGATATGTCACGCGTATCTCGGTCAGAACATCGGTTGCAAGTCATGAGAAAGATCAAAAAGTGACATTCCAAGAACCATTCAAATGAATTTCGAACCGGTCCTATATCTCCAATATTATAGTGCAATATATCTTTCTCAATGTAATTTATTCCTCAATTTTAGATCCATAAAAATTGCATGTGTAGTTTTGTTTAAATATGAGTACTAATTGAGTAATATTGACGAATATTATTGACTTTTTTTCTAAAATGTCTTAAATTTATATGATATTCCAGAGTACATGGAACCTGCCTTGATGTTAGTACTCAGGTTAATAGAACATAACTAAAAATAAAATACTGTTGATAGTACATAATCATCTATCCATTCACGAGGGAAGGCTATATATTCTGTCCACTTTCCGGTAGAGTAGCATCAGTATTTTAGCATTCATTGCGTATCCAAATTATGCATTTCAAAGCTAAATTTTACTAAGAGGTGGTTTGCCGCGCATTTTTACTAGTTTTAATCGTATTTATTACCAAAGTACTACTCTTTTACTGAGTAGGAAGCTCCTTTAGAGTTGACAGTTTATAAAAGTTTTTAAGCTGTTGCAACTTGACAAAAAATAAACAAAAACAGACAGGTATAATTTGCACAAAAAGATGCTAGAACAAGAACCAACAAAACATGGATTTTGGCTAAACCATGAGATAAAGGATTTCTTTTTCTAAATTTGGCAACAGGATTTATCCACTTTTTCGTTACCAGAACATGGCAATAAGGTTTTCTCGTGCGACATTTTCGCGTTTTCTAGCTGCAACAGACGAAGTAAGTGCTGACGTTGGCGTAACCTGTGCTCTTACAGGTAGCGCTCACACAAGGACTTAGTGGCCGTGGTTATAGAGACACGAAGGAGTAGATTCACAATTTCACTGTTAAAGGACATAGAATGCGCGGGTGTTGTGCAGCACTGTCGATACCTCCACTTGTTCCGATTAGCATGATTGATTTTTTGTTTCCGGGTGTGTCAAAGTGAAGGTCATTAAGTCGTAAGTGTAGTTAATGTTATGACCAGGGAGGTGGAGGAGTTCCTCCTCTGCGCGACACTGACATCCGGCTCACTCGTGCCGTTTCCCCTTCCACGTACCTCCCGTCAGTTTGGTGCCACCTAGGCATATTTATTTTTTGTTTATTTATTTATTTAACGCCAAAAACTGTTAAAACTGTATGGGACGTGCTACACGGAGAAGTGAATTCTGTGCAAGTTTTCATAATTCTGTGATCCCCACCCTACGTCCTACACTAGTTGAGTTATGAGTACAGAAAGAAATGAGTGGGGTTTTCCAAATATAGTCAACAAAATATTCGCTCCGATGTAATAAAATATATCTTCAGGGATAAATTAGCCATAGATTTGGGCTCTTCTCCCTCATCATGTCCTTTGGGAAGGAATAATACTTCCTGCTGCGACAATATAGAAAACGATAATTTGTATAACTATATTCCCCACGGAATTCTAGAAGATGTGCAGAAATAATGAAGTTACATTTATGTACAAAAGCAAAACAAGGGGTCATCTCGGTATTTGCTCAAACAATCAGGGAAACTGGACGAAAAACCTAATCGAGATTGGAGTCATTGATCCAGAAGATGAGGTACAATACTTGTGACAGGTTGTTTACAATTTTACAATCAAAATGGTAAACAGTACATTAAATATCATTGTTAAAATTAAAATTACTTTCCTTTTTGATGCTCGGTATAGTCTCTCATTGTATTGAAACGGTTATATACAGAAAAAGATTTTTCTTGGGACTTATACTTTTGTACCGAATTTAATCCTTTAATGTCATCGGGCCAAGTGTTGTAAAATAATGTACATACATTGTATGTGAATTGTTTGTAGTGAGCTAGTGATACTGTCACCTCATGAATATCATTACTACGTCGAGTGTTGTAGTTAAAAACAACGGCGTTTGTTGAAAATATATTCCCGCCCTTAAGTCATTATTGACAAAAACCACTGATCCATATATGAAGAGACAAGGTAATGGTAAAATACCTAGATTAATAAAGAGATGCTTATAACAATCACGTGGGTGGATTTGCTTATTATTCTTACAATTCTTTTCTGTAATCTAAAAGTCTGGAAGCTATAATATGTATTTCCCAAGAATATTATACTGTATCTCAGGCGGCAACGAACATTCGCAAAATACACACGAGCAATATGAAGACTGACTGATTTTGAAAAAATTCTGTACGCGTTGCATAATGAACTTAATTTTGTATTCAATTCGTGATCATTAGCAAATCGTCACAAAAAGGCAATGATGAGTGTATTATAGCAAGCACTGCAACATGAACCAACAATGTGGGAAATGCATTTACTTGGACGACGCAGAGAAAAAATACGTTTCGGGAAACAGAGAACTGATGTTGGAGAAACACAGTTCTTCAATAGCATATTCTACATGAACAAAATTGGAGGACCAGAGTGATTCAGGGTAAGGTGGTAGTACACTACAGGGCGTGCATAAAATCCATTCCTTTTCCTAACTAATTTTCCTCTTGTGATCAATAAACAACGGTCAACACGTGGTACTTCTGCTAGTTTGTAAATATGATCATTGGAACATAAAAAAACTTTCCTTTGGTGCTAATGATCACATTCCCCACTAGAGTTCAATTTTAACTCAACGTAATATTGGAGAGAAAGTTTTTCTAAAATAAATAGGTAAATATGTTTTCTTTGCCTCTGTGGGAAGATATAATTCACTCTTATTCGTTTCAAATAATAAAATATAATAACCATTTGTAGAAAACGTTCTCAGAATATACATAAAATATGAATAACCATATCATACTTAGTATCGTTAGGAATCCATTAAGAAGCCGTTCTCAAACACTTTATGCGTCCGCACTTCTAAAACATAAGTACATCCGATATTTTAGTTCAAGAGATTTCTTTATTTTTATGAATTGAAGTTTTCGTGAATTAAAGATTTCATACAATATTTTCAACCTAAGATATTACATACGGTACGTTGGAAATAACGCAACCTTTACACACGCATTCAATATTTTTGTCGCACTAGTATACAGAATGCTTCACTTCAGGTGGTAAAAAACATTACTACATTCTTCTCGGTTTGACGAACAAACGTTTCCCGACATTTTGCAGAAATAAGTTTAGTTTCTGTACAGAAATTTCTTGACGATTCCTCTTCCATTACGTCCAGAATATTGTGTAGCGAGGCTAAACTCTCAAGATAGTTATAACAATTGCTGAAGAAAAAAATACATTTTTCAGACACAAACAAATAAAAGCGAAAATCTGAGAGTTGGCGGAATTGGTGACCAATTACAACCTCTACCGTGAGTCCTATATCGCGTCCGATTTTTGGATGCCTTACACAATAAGTGGATTGTCGGAACCTTACACAATAAGTCGATCGTCAGAATTCCAGGGCCCTCGCTTTTGACATTTAACTCTAATGACCTCCCGCGACTACAACGGATCTTCGAAATGCGCTTATAATTGTGTTGATATTCAGTCTGCCACGGAATTTTTAAAAAAATAATAACCTTCAATGTGAATCTATATTTCTGAGCGCAATATGGTAAAAAAGTATTTATCGATATAACTTAATATTACGAGGAACATGCTGGTGTTTTTCCCACCCAAAATGACTCACCTATACACACGGTGCGCTGCCGGGGGTGGTGGAGCAACGGACGAGAATGCTCTTGTGCCGATGCCAGCCGTTGGCTGCGGTGCTCCTGAAAGATGTGCGCGCGGGCCGGCGCCTTCACCTGGACAAATTAGAGCGCTTAAGGCAGAGCCCGCACCGCACAGGTACAAAACAAACGAGCCTCCCGCTTCTATTTTCTTGGATTTCGGAGCCCCTCGGGTAATATTGGGTTTTGCGGGTCCCATTCATTATGCAGCGTTAGAGACGCTATTTGTTAAGTGTTGCAGGACGTATCAGATAGGGGACGTTTGTAGAAATATTTTACTTCATTTAGCATCAAGAGAGTACAAGGCAATTAAATTTCGTTTCTTTCATTCATTACAAGTTTAACGAGGCATTATTGCCATCGACCAGCTCCGGAAAGCCGAAATGTTAGCCTTCTAAGGTAAATACCATCAAACAAACAAAACGTAAAGACTTCTTTATAAGAAAATAATTACCCCAAACTTCGCAATAGACATATTAAAAAAACGCAATATATTCCAAGATATAACAAAAGGAGAGTTACTAGCATTTTTATACGAAAACATATATCAATAATACAATTATGTTCTAATTGAAAATACAACGAAATGATTTATGAAAACTTACATTTAACTACCATAAACGTAATGGCACTTTATACTAATGTTTTGATTTCTTTCATTAATTATTGAAATTGGTCTTACTACTGTTTTACATTTTACCGGTAAGACAATCACGTCGACTAATAGCGAAGTGCGATATCGACATAACGTAGACTACATCAATGCAAATAATACAGTTTTCTGAATAATAATATTCTTGCGGAACGCGAATAAAGCACACTCGATGATGGACAAAAGGGGGATCCCGAAACGGTGAGCAAGAAACGTTTTCTTGATAAAGGATATGTGATATAAAGGACTGTTCCTTCTATAAACAATGAAACCGTACCTAATAAAACTAGTGAGAGCATAGACTTCCGCGGCCGGAGTCAGTATTACTAATAAAACTAATACGAATAAATAATAACTAGTGAATACTAATCAAACTAACTAGTGGGGCTGCGAAATGGCACTTTCCGGTATTAGTTTTCTATTTCCTTTAGTCTCGGCTAGCTGTACTAACTTGTCACATCTTGCTAGCTGCCATCTATCTCACCGCCTAAAGTACATATTTTTTGAGATTATCTTATTTTGTCGATTTCCTAATAGTAGAACAAAAATATTATTTTAATAATATTGAAGAATAGTAAAACCTAATACTAAATGGCCATTTTCTTTTAAAATTTGCAGCTATTCTTAAGAAAATGGCATTTAAACGCTACTATAAATTCGAAATTTAAAGCTCTTTTTCACAGTAAATTTTTGAATATTCGAAAAACCAATAAAATTCACATTGAAACATTTTAACTAACAAATACAATAGTGTTTACAAATTGCTGGGAATGTGCGTATCAACGGTGTGAGAGATGAAAAAACAAAAATTCCCCGAAATGAACTTTACGTCATATTAAAGAGAACTATCCGTTCGAACATTTTGAAGAAATTATTTGGAGCCGTTTCTGAGAAAATAGCGTTTGAGCTTCTCTGAAAAAGTGAAATTATGAGGTTGAGTTTTCGAGAAACTTTATACGACAATATCGTACACACGTGTTCTCATAAATATAATAATATGAACAAATCGCCGCTAGTACAAGTATTAACTACGTGAGAGATCAGTAAAAAATTACATTTTTGTAATTTATGACTAAACAAAGGAATAACGCGTTTATGTCACATTAGAAAGTACATTTAGCATTATTCGTCATAAGCGTTTAAAGAAAAATTCGGGGCCGTTTTTGAGAAAATCGTGTTTTTGTAATATATTGTAATTGCACATATTGCTCGCACTATTGAGCTACAACTACTAAACTTTTCAAATAATGTGCATGGCCCTAATGAAAAAACTAACTAGAGAGAAAAAGGTATTTGAAGGAAAAATCCTTATCTTCAATTTTTTAATTACAGGAAAACACCGCAAAAAAATTGAAACTTTTGAAATATTCGGAATTTCAGAGTTAACCCTGAAAATTGGACCTAAGCCACTTTTGTACGAGTATTTTACTCTATTCTTACAAGAAATTTACAGAAACATTTAATGCCTTTTTCGGAAAAATTTAGAAAATGTCCCAGGGGCTTCATGTAAAGTACCCCCAATTTTTAAAGAATGGTTTTCAAACTCTCAAAGCTTCAACTAGAACCAGATAGGCAGGGATTTCTTCATTTTGGAGAAACTTCTACGAGTAATTTAGGCGCTAGTAGCGTTCACAGGCAGACGGACGGACGGACGGACGGACGGACGGGCGGACGGACGGACGGACAGATTGACGGGCGGGCGGACGGACGGGCGGACGGGCGGACAGACGGACGGGCGGACAGACGGACGGACGTTTTGAAATAAACAGTTTTTCGGTATCGGGGGACCCAAAAACATGTATTTTCGTTGGAACTTCGAAATTTATTTTCCGCAGCATTACACAACTTTCCCTATACTACGTATATTACTTCGTATATACGTACGTATGTGGGGAAGTAAAAATAGGACGTAATATATTATAATATTCTTTTAATAGTGTTGAAACTTCTGACTAACATACTAAATGCAGTCTGCACTACATCTATTTGGTGTGACATTTCATTTGTTTTGACATTGCTTCCTTATTCTACAGCACAGGGAGGAAAAGAACTTATATCGCCACTACAATAACATTTCAAATTTTCGGTCGTAAAATCAATGCTTAAGGGCCTTTTGACCAGTATCTTCGCACACGCGCCAGGAGTAAGATTTTTTAGAGCTGTTTTAAAGATAGTTAAGATTGTTGCAGTTGGAGAGAAGTAATTTTGTACTCGAAAACCGGGATGTCTGCGTGGCTG